CAGACCTCATGTTCATCAGAGCTTCCGTGGTGATTTCTGGGAGAAAGCCGGTGCGTTTGATCGGACCCCGCACCAAACACATGCTGATAAACAAAATGTTCTCGAGGGGAAAAAGCTATGCGTCAGATGTATTTACACAATCAAACACACAGGTGAGAGTGAGCTCATGCTACTGCCTATTGCGGTGGGAAGACTTTCTCCACATGAACCTTTGGTGTGTGTTTGTGTTTAAACAGACGTGTGGGAAGTAAATTATCTTGTCTGGTGTCTCCAAAGTGTGCATGTTTTCTTTGCTTTATTAAGCTTTACAGCCCATAAACCTACAATTCTCAAGGAGTGCTGGGCTTTGATGGGGTACTGTTAATTTTCCCTGCTCTCCCTCACTGTTGAGCAGGACCGTGAAATGCCGCTATGATGTCTGGGTTAAGACCTCTGCAATAAAAGCCATTATGTGGCTCGTGAGAACCGGCACGTGATTTACTCTCAGGGTCACTTGCTTGTTTATTTCATCCTGTTTTGTCATTGGCAAATACATGACTGTCTGCTCTGGGTGCGTATATTTTGTTCTGAGAAGCGAACCATATTTATTTCAGACAAAGATCTGAAGAAATAAAACAAAAAAATCAAAGTGGATGGCTGGATGATAATTTATGGCTTTGTAAATATAGCAGCAGATCATGATGTGGTCCAGAGGGCACTGTGGAGCCAGCTGTTGACAGTGAGTGATTGGATTTGCTCTACCCTCCCATTATTCAAAAATGTAGCCTCACTATATCTCGTGCTCTCTATCAGGTCTGTTTCTACCCATTGGGTTTGTGCTGATGTGGCACAACTGTGTTAGAGAGTCTGCACTCTTTGCCAGGCCACGTGAGCGACGAGAAGTTCGGATAGGTTTTGTAACCACTGATGAAAACCAATGAAAATTAAAGAATGTGCAGTGTTGTAAATGAATCTTTAGCCAAATTTCCTTAAATTTCCTACGTCTCTTAAAACAACTGTTTTTACATTGATGACTCCAAATATAGCTCATGTCAGAAGTAATATATCATGGCAAACAAGTTAAAGATTAGCAGCCAAACAATCAGTTAATTTGTTAAGTGATGAGCAGTTTCCACAGAGCTGGGGAGCCATAACAGGGGAAGCCTGGAAAATTGCAGGAAGAGATCAGCAGAACCTTCAACTTTGTCCTGAAACATGTAAATGGCCATTTTGTGCAAGTAAGCTAAAATGAAGACTGTTCCTTTCATAGACTTGATGATAAGAGGGATCTAGTTTATGGGCTCCCCATTAGAATGTCTAAGCCTATACGCTTCACACTTATATCACCCCATCAGGTAGTTGGAAAGAGATGGCAAACTCAAAATTAGGATATCAGAAGCATAAAGAGAAATGAGAGAGAAGCGAGTATCTGAGCAGTGTTACAGCTCATGATGTTGCCTGAAGCAAGCTTTTTTTTGTTGCATTAATTCAATACCGCTCCATCTCAAGAGTAACTTGCATGCCAATGGTCACTTACTCACCCAGTCACTTAGGGTTTTTCTTTCTTTTCTAATAACAGTTATCTAATCACTAATGTTTATTTTCATGTTCATTAACAATGATTATGAAAAAAATTAATGTTGTACAAGTTGGCAAACAGGAACGCACATCCAGGCATCTGTTCTTCAGCATACTGAACATCTCCTCCATTTACTTCCATTCAAACAAAACAGCCTCTAGTGACCCTGTTAAAACCTGAATTTTGAATTGTGAATATATTTGCATTTTGTTACCCAACTTACATATATAACCTTAACATGGACTATCTGCTGAGTGCCCAGAACTTTTTTTCTGGCTATCAACTGATAGTCGCCGAGGGCTATGAGTCACTCACATGTCCACCTAGGACAAGAATGAAGTAATGCCCTTTTATTCACTAACATAAAGGCGCTCGATGAGAAGAAAAAGGAAGAGGAAAAAATAGGTCATAAACTCTCATTGTAGGGTGGGTAACTGGAGCTCTTCACATAGTCATTGCCAACTTTTTCTCTTTACACACAAAAATATAAACTTGAATGGCTGATTGTGGTTAACAGCGGTGGCTTTGCTGTTGATGGAGCCCTGCTAGCTGTCTTCCATTCACAACTAAGACGCATGTCGCAACGTGTCCCGTCACGCCTGTCTTGCGCCTCCAAATGTCAATGAAAATTAAATATTTATCTGCCTAGTCCCTGTCACAGCAACTGTATTGTTTAAGAGCTTGATTGAGTTTGTATTTTAATGTGGAAGAGTCTCTGCACTGTGCATTCATTCTTTGTGGTGGTTACACTGTGTTAATGCCAAATGATGAAACCTTCAGTAGAACTTCAATTAATCCTATATATATATTTTGCTAATATTGAGTAGCTTATATTTTAAACACAATATTCACATTGTATGTTTTCTTTGTGGCACTTATATTAACAGGTTACGGCATTCACATTGAGAGTCAAAAGTTTTTGAACAGTAAGATTTTTTATGTTTTTTAAAGAATTCTCTTCTGCTCACCAAGCCTGCATTTATTTGATCCAAAATACAGCAAAAGCAGTAATATAGTGAAATATTTTTTACTATTTAAAATAACGGTTTCTATTTGAATATATTTCAAAATGTAATTTATTCCTGCGATTTCAAAGCTGAATTTTTAGCATCATTACTCCAGTCACATGATCCTTCAGAAATCATTGAAATATTCTGATTTGCTGCTGAAAAAACATGTATTATTATTATTATTATTATGTTGAAAACAGCGAGAATTTGACTTTGATTAATAGAAAGTTCAGAAGAACAGCATTTATCTGAAATATATATTTTTTTGTAACATTATAAATGTCTTTGTCACTTTTGATCAATCTAAAGCATCCTTGCTAAATAAAAGTATTAATTTCTATAATTTCCCAAAAAAATTAAAATAAAAAATAAAATAAAAATACTGACTCCAAGCTTTTGAATGGTAAATGTATAATGTTACAAAAGCTTTTTATTTCATATGAATGCTGATCTTTGGATCTTTCAATTGGATCTTTCTTACTGTTAAAATGTTTTTGACTGGTTGTGTATGTATGTAGCTGTAATGTGGTGTTTTGTTTCATGTTCATGTTTTCCATGTCTTTTATTT